TCCGCTCACGCCTCTCAACAACGATGCAAGCACATACAACCACAAGAATACTCTTCCAAGTTCCAACCTTCCCTTCTCCCTCCCCTCCCCCCCTCCCTCATTCTTTTTGGACCATTTCTTGATTTATGTGTGTCATCCTTGCACATGGGCCATGCGGCTATTCTTCCCTGCATCGTTCCAATGTAATGGATGTCCCAAGGAAAGTACTCTTCTGACCATAAGTTTACCGCGGAACCTGAATTGCCAAGCCTCCCCTTAGCCCACCCCTAGAGATTCGGGCCATCTTTTGGGGTTAATATTTCTACCAGAGGCAGCTTACATATTTGGTCCAGTAGGCTGAACCAACCCCTGGCCCCCATTGTATACCGATTCAAGCCATAAGTGAGGGGGAGTCCTCACCGGTGGAGGCCTCTGCACCTTTTTTGTTTTTTTTGTTTTTTTGTTTTTTTTTTCGGACGAGAAACCAGGCCAGCCTACTACTGTCTTCCCCCAGACATAGCGCACCCTGAATTTCAAAATGAATGTGTACAAGGTATGTTTCCAGCCCGATACAGTCAAAATGAGGGTGCGTTGTGTTCGGGGGAAGACGGTAGCCTCTGAGAGTCTGAACCCTTTTTTTTTGTTCAATCCGCCTTTGCATTGACCCTCAACTTCGCTGAACCTCAGGGCCTAGTACTGTCTTCACCCGGATAGAACGCCTGGTCATTATAGCTGTATTTGGGGTCACTCTCAGTCCAGATGCAGCGATAATCACCAGGCTTTCTAAGGGTGAAGACAGTAGCCCGGACAGTGGCTGAACCTCAGGCCTTGACGATAACTGCCTGTTATCGAAATCGGACTCCAATGGTCGGGACCGGTGCCCGCAGTTTTTTTTTGGCAGCCAACACAGGGTGTCACATGGCCACTACTGGACTGTCCCATGGACCTCTTGTATAGTAGCGCGGCTGGATGAAATGCTGGATTTTTTTCTGGCCAGACCCTATCGATGGTACATGAACTTCGGCAGTTTTGGGTCCAGATTCGTCCTACGTACTTAGCACCGGCATAGCGTTATGTTATGGGAACCTTGCCCTCTGACTGAACATGTGCATTGAACGCATTGTCATTGACAAGCAAAAGGGGGCTTGTTCCTCTCAATTGAGACTTGGTACTGTCTTTCCCGGACATACAATGTATGGTCATTATCGCTGTATCTAGACTGAAAGTTGTCCCAAAAACCACAGCTGTAATGAACATTTGTTCCGATCGGTGGAAGACGGTAGTCATCGATCTGCACAATCTACTATCGGAAACGATGATCGCTCAGTGCTCGTTCGTTAACTGTGTCTTCCTTTCATTAAATAGTAATTTTTTTTTCTCTCACTTCGTTACCGTTCTCTTTATGACTTCCTCTTGTTAAATGGAGAACAAGAAGATATTTGTTTTTGCCCTTGTACTCTTCTCTTCTCTTCTCTTTCTTTCTTTCTTTCTTTGCCGCTTTGTTTGCCTTTGTTTCATTAATTGATCATTAATGATTATTCGGAACGATTGTGGCTTCATGGCCCACAATCTTGCCACAAATCTTTTGAGTAATGATGCTTTAGTGAATTGAACCCAAGCAAAAAAAAGAAAAAAAGGAGAAAAAAGTGAATTGAATCCAAGCAATCCTATAGATACCTGAACAGTCTCCAGGGGAGGAGGTCCCACTTGGGGCCTCCTCGCCACACTACTCACGGAATGTGCAAAATGGAGCATGCATCTTCCGCAAAAATATAGGAAGTAACATCCGCCGTAGCTTTTGTCTTTTTCACATTCCGTGAGCTGTGTGGCGATGCCCTTAGACTGATAATCCTTCTTCATTTCTGACTGTCGGTTATAAAAAAATAACCGATGACCAGCCAGAAGTGCCGGGTCTGGGTAAGTCGGACCTTGCCGCAGACCAGATTTTGAAGAGATGAATTGTGACAGGAACAGAAGGAGAACCTCCGACAATGAAAGCGGAGACACGGAAAGGAAACTAGTGGAGTGAATACAAAGGGCCTACTAGTAGGTGCACCACTCGCCATCCACCAACATTTTGAAATTTGAATGCATCTGAAGTCTGTTTCTGTCCAGATGCAGTTAGAATCTTGGCGGATGGCGAGTAGTGCAACTAAACCCAACAAAGAAGGCCACATTTCACTCGTTTCCCATTCACGTGCCAGGAAGGGCGAGGGTAAGAATGACCGAGTACTAGTACGCGTACTGATTGCTGCACAATCACTCAAATTGAATGTGAACAGCAAACAGGTGACCCAACAAGCCATAAGCCACGTGAGAGAGTGCCAAATGCCACGTCAGTGGCTGTGGGTAGGACTGTATGGGTTTCATTTTTCCACGTGCCGCTTCCCCTTTGGAATCCCCTGCATGTCCCTTCCCTTCCCT